GGAGGCGGGGAGGGGGAGAAGGGAGCAGGAACAAGAGGGGGAGGGCGAGGATGAAGACACTCGTGTGGGCAAGAAGAATGAATGAGGAGGTGGAGGGGAGGGGCATGGTGGGACGAGAAGGCGAGGGTGTAGACGCGTGGAGGATGTTGCCATCGTGACGCCACAGTTTTATGCGATTGGAATGTTCGGTGAACGCATGGCTTTAAGGACAGTGAATTTTGTGCCCGCAATGTTCCAGGCCGCAGTCCCATACCAGGCATCTACGAGCGGACTGAGGCAGAGAGCCGCGTCGGAGTCTGGGACGCAACGATAGGATGAGTTCCTCCTCCTCCTCCTTCTCCTGGTGAGGCTGGTGGGGTTGGCATGCACTTGGCGGGAAATATGCCCATATTCCATATCCACCGCCTCGTGGATCAAGCTGCCAGCGGGAGTCCCGCCACCGTGCCGGCCCAGCACTCTAGGTGGCGATTGCTCGAGGGTGCATGGGTGGCAGTCACGTGTGACACCTCGTGTCTTGAAGCTTGAGAGAGACATGATGATGCTGTTGATGCTGATGAAGCTGATGATGATAATGGTGATGGTGGTGATGATTATGATGATGACGATGAATGCTGTGATGTTTTTTTTCTGATGATGCCGATGGCGATGGCGATGGTGATGGCGACGACGATGGTGATGATGATGAGGATGAGGATGAGGATGAGGATGATGATGATGATGATGATGAGTTTGATGATTATGGTGATGAAGGGGCTGCTGAACGATGCTTAACATGATTTTGATGAAGATGATGGTTATGATGCGGATGCGATGCGCATGAGTTTGATGTGGATGGATCACATGATGATTGTGATGATCGTGATGCTGATGATGATGATGATGATGATGACGAGTTTGACGATTATGATGATGCTGATGATTATGGCGGTGACAACAACGATGTTGTTGATGATGATGATGATGGTGATGACGACGATGATGATGATGGTGACAATGATGGTGATGATGATGCTGCTGATGATGATACTGATGCCGATGACGGTTATGGCGATGGTGATACAGTTGATGGCGATGATGGTGATCCGAGTGATTATGTTGTTGATGTTGATTGTGGTGTTTATGTTGATGGGGGTAATGAGGATGGTGGTGATGACGATTAGGATGACCACGAATATGATGATGATGATGATGATGATGATGATGATGATGATGATGATGATGGCGATGATGAAGATGACGATGACGACGACGATGACGATAACGATAATGATGGTGAGCATGATGATGACGATGATGATGCTTATGATGATGATGATGATGATGATGATGATGATGATGATGATGATGATGATGATGATGATGATGATGATGATGATGATGATGATGACGATGACGATGCCGATGATGAGGATGATGAGAAGGAGGAGGAGGAGGAGGAGGAGGAGGAGGAGGATCAGGAGGATGAGGAGGAGGAGAATGTGGAGAAGGTGGAGGAAGATGATGATGGCTGTTGGGACCGCCCCCCCAGCGTCCAGACCGCGGCCCTGACATTCGCAGTTCCGTTTCTGTTGTCAGCCCGCGGCCCCACGCTCGGAGCCCCGCGGGGGTTGCTAAGGGAATGGGGGGGTGGTCTAAGTGGCTGCTAAGATGAGTTGCCTCTGGCCTAACCTAGGCCGTAAGTAGGGTGCAAGTGCCTAAGTGGCCCATGGGGGTGAAGATCCAGGCTAAGTGGGCTCGGCCCACGTGCCGGAGTTATCGAATCCATCCGCTAAGCGGAGGTATCCAAACCCGCTTGTGTGCCAGGCTTGGCCAGATACAGCCACTTTAGCATCCACGTGTAGCCCCAGTGATCCTAACAGAGGTCCGAGCTGCTGTCCCCAGGGTGCGTTGTTTGAAGGCCCCCGGGGCCCGATCAATGGGCCTCAGAGGCCGAGATCGAGGAGAACGCCGGGGTTGAGCAAAGTCTGGTCGTCAGGCATCTGGGGAGGCCACGGATATGGATGTGCTCGTCGCGCTCGCGGGCGGGAGCCCTCCGCCGCCGCCGCATCGTCTGACGGATCCCCTTCCCCACTGGGCCATGGTGTCTCAGCCCCACCAGCCCACACCCCGAGGCGGGGACAGATCACCCGAGTCCCGAGGGGAACATCGCATATGATCCAGGCTTGCCCCCCCTTCCCTCCCTCTCAAAACCCAAAGTCATGTGGAATCCAGTCCTCCCCCCGGCCCGTGAGCCTCACGAAGGCCGCCTCGCGAATGAGATCCCTCCCCCTCCCCCCCTGTGGTCGTGGCCCTGTGGGCGTGGCGTGGTGGAGGGTGCTGGTGCACACCCCCTTCCCCAACCTGTGGGTGTGGGGTGGTTCGTCGTCGTCGTCGTCGTCGTCGTCGGCGTCTGTCGGCGGCGTCGGCGGCGTTGGCGTCGGCGTCGGCGTCGGCGGCGTTAGCGTCGGCGTCGGCGTCGACGTCGGCGTGGGCGTGGGCGTCGGCCTCGGCCTCGGCCTTG